ATATGGAATGGATGGATTACCCAAGGAGTGGTACAACCACATTCCAAGCCCGGTTACGACAGTAGGTCCATGCACAGTTCTATATGATCAACAAATCCACACTGATAGAACTGTGCCAGCTAACAAACCGGATATCATACTCAGGCATAATGCGGAAAAATGGTGTAAGTTAATTGAGGTATCCGTGCCGGCAGAGAAAAACACCACAGCCAAAGAAGCAGACAAAAGGCTGAAATACAGAAATTTGGAAATTGAAATAACCAGGATGTGGGGAACAAAAACTGAAACGATTCCGGTCATCGTGGGAGCATTGGGAGCCATGCCACATTCAATAAAAGGAAATTTAAAGAAGATTATGAAGAACCTAAAAGAAGAAACCATCCAGGAAATCGCACTATGTGGGACGGCCCACATTCTTCGGAAAATATTATAAATAGCACCACCGATATTCGAGTATTTGTCCCTAAGGAATCGGGTAGAGACCTGGGATAAATGCTTAACAACCCCGACAAATAAGAGCCTTGTCGTGTTTAAGAGTGACCATAATAATAATACTAATAATAATGATGATGATGATGATGATGATAACAACAACAAAAATACCGAAACAGAATAAAGAGCGAGCGGAAATTTGTAATTTTTTATTATTTTTTTTTGTTTATTGATAAATTTAATCCCGATATGATTCCTCGTCGTTTGGGATGCAAAAAAAAAGGGGAAAAAGGGGGAGAAAGGGGGGAGAAAAAAGGGAAAAACTTAGTCGGTGATGAAAACATATATTCCGACAGGAATCGTTACATAATCTTTTTATTGATTGTTCAATAATGTACGATTTTTACAAACAACAGGAAAAAAATGAAAAAAAATTTTTTTTTTTTATATGCGGCGCAAAAAATGGAAAAGAAGAAAGAAAAAGAGAGAAAAGGAGGGGGAGAGGGGGAAGAGGGGGGAAGAGGAAGTGAAAAATGAATTTTTTTTTTTTTTTTTTGGAAAACGTTTGCGAATGCGTGTGTGTGTAATTTTTCATTTCTTTTAATTTTCTTTGTTTTTGTTTTTTTTTTTCCTCCGTTTCCGTTTCCGTGTCGGTCGAAAGTCAAAAAATCTCGGTAGAAAAAAAAACATTAAAATATCGATCGATTGTTGTTTAACCACCGATTTTTATTTTCAATTGGAAAGAGAGAGAGGGAGTGAGAGAGAGAGAAAGTGAAAAAAATGAGAATCTTATTTGTAAAAATAAAAAAAAAAATTAAATAAATTTTCCAGCTGTTGAAATTTTTTCTTTTTGGAGAGAGAAAAAAAAAGGAGGGGGAAGAGAGTAGAAGTAAGGGAAAAAAGGAAAGAAAGAAAGAAAGAAGAAAGGGAAAGAAAAAGAAAAAGAGAAAATGATGGAAAAGAAGATTAATGGGTCATTGTTATCCAAAAAAAAAAAAAAAGAATGAATTGGTAAATGGTTAAGTTAATGACTTTTGAGAGCGTTTTTTTGTTTTCCCCCTCCTCTTCTTCACTCCCCTCTCCAATTCTCTTCTTTTTTTTCCGTTTTGCTTTTTTGGCGTTTTTGAATTTTTAAAATGATCAAAATGGCGTCAAGACCTCTTCCACTTCCTCTCTCTCTCTCAATTATTTTTTTTTTTTTAACTTTTAAATATTTATTCGAAATTAAAAAAAATTTTTTAGTCTTTTTATTACTGTGCGTGACCTCCCGGTCCCCGCCCCAACCCCTCCGCCTCCCCATATTAATATCAATGGCAAAATTACATTTTTTTTTTTTTTAAATTTTGCCTTTCACGCGTCACATGCGGCGAAAGGTTAAAAGAGCAAAAAAGAAAAACAGAAAAAAAAAAATTTGATTTATATTTTAACATCGATTATCGTGTCTCAGATTTTTTTGTCACTTTTAACTTCATTTCCTCAAAATTTCGGCGGGAGGGGGGGGCTAGAGAGAGAGAGAAAGAGAGGGAGTGCGTGCATGTGAGTGTAGGAAAAGGTTTCCTGATCGTTTGTTTCCTCGTTTGTTTTCTCGTTTGTTTTCTCGTTTGTTTGTTTGATTGTTCGTTTGATTGCGAATGGAAACGACGTTGATGCCATTGGATTAGAAAAAAAAAAAAAAGGAACAACGTCGTCGAAAATTTGTTTCGAAAATTTGTTTTATAACTTGTTGAAACGTTTTTTAGAATTTCGATTGTTTTTTCAAGAAAAGAAAAAAGGGGGAAGTGTTTAAAAATTTGCTATAAATTATCGGTCGTTTCCCTCCCTTTTCCCCTCCCCTCGCCTCCCCGATCGAATCGTAAAAAAAAAAAAGAAATTCGAAAAAGCAAACAAGGCAAAAAATTATTTATTTTTTTTCTAATTCGAAATATTAGCGGATTCGAATAAATTTGATGGAAAAGAAAAGAAGGGAAAATAAGTTAATGGAACGGAAGTCAAAAAAAAAGCAGAATAAAAAAAAAAGAAATTCATTGAAG